ACGATGGGCAAAGTGATCAAGGAGGTCAGCGCTGCGACGCAAGGAAGGGCAGATGGAAAACAGATCAGTCAGGCTGTCAAGAAGGCGCTGGGTTTGTAGCTAGCGCGCGAGATGATATACGGCTCAGCAAGCAATTGCCCTGATGAGCCTCTGTGCGGTCGTAGAGTACGCATTGCGATTCATTTCGTGACAAAACGTAGCTGGACAGGGCACATGAGGGAGAAACGGCTCAGATGCAGCTCAGCGTCGCGAACACAACGTTGCAAATTGACACGGGGGATAGAGCGCATAAAGGTGTAGAGACTTGGGAACGGGAGGATGTGTGACTTTTGGTCTGGGAGATTTCGTAGCACGCATCTGGAAGAGTGTGGTAGCCTAAGCTCTGGAGAGACAACTCTGCGGGTCCGGCAGCCTTCCGGCAGGCTAGTGGAGCCACGCTGCGAGAGAGGACACATTGGTGTCGATGTGGGTCAGGCAGGGTCGGCACCTCCTCGAGAGCATTTCTAGTTGATCCTCTCCGCCTTGCCTGTGCCGGGGTGACGAACGTCCCTGGCGATGCCACGGAGGATGCCAGCCAGAGCGCGTCTGGATTCCCAGATAGGCAGGATGACGACGATACCGGAGCTGATGAACAGCCACAGCAGAATGATGCTGATCCAAGCTGCCAAGCCGGACGAGGTCCAGACCCTCTTGATAATCATCATGCACGGAAGGAAGATGAGCAGGATGAACGTGAGAGGCAGAGAAATGTACGCCGCCATGCGGAAAGACTTTTGAAGGTCGTCGGGGCTGCAAGGAAGGCAAATTTACGGGGCCCGGAGTTAGTCGAGTTACCCCGTCAAAGGTCCCCGCAGGCCACTCACTTCTCCCCTTTGGTCTGCTCGCTCTGAAAAGCCAAGTTCTGCACCTCCATCTTCTCCTCTTCAGAGCCTCGACGCTCGGGACTGGCGAGAGGCGCTTTGGCATCGCCAGAGGCGCTTGAAGAGGATTCGTCTTTGGGCGAGCCGGGCATCGAGGAGCTTGGTCGCGCAGGCTCACGGCCGATCGCCCGCGTACCCTCAAAGTCGTAGTTTTCAGGCCAGATGTACGACCCAGCAATTGTGATGACCGTGGGGATGATGATGGAGACAAGATTGCCTGCAAGTACGGGGTAGTCCGCGCTCAGGTGTGCCACGGTCAAGCTTCCCTCCAGCTTGTAGCACGTCACCAGCCAGGTCATGACACCCAAAGCTAGACCAGTCGGCATACCGATCATGGCGCTTCTCTTGTTTGCTTTGCTCCAGCAGATCGCCGCGAAAACAGGGAATACTGCTGAGGAGACCCAGATGCCCAACCATACGTATAGCGAGCCCATTCCTACTCCAGCATAGTTGAACCCGGTAGAAAGGCAGCCCAGGATGAGGGCCCAGACAGGAACGGCGACGTGACTCGCGATGAACGTTGCCCGCTTGCTGGGCTCCTTCTTGAAGAGCGCAAATATATCAAAGGCGAAGATCGAAGACACCGCGATCAGCTGGGCTGAAGTCGCAGAGGTCACGGCCAGATAAAGCAGACACAACATGGCAGCTGC